AGTGAGGGTACGGTGAAAATGTAGGGTGATAAAAAGATAAAGATCAGGTTGTGCGCGCTCCCGTTCCTCGGTCTGTCAGCTGCGCGCTCTTGCTCTCTCCCTCTCTCGTTGTGTGGGCGGGATCCGCTGGGCGGGTCCGGGGCGGTGTGGGTGGAGTTGCAGAGAGCGAGCTGCGCGCTCCCGGTGAGTTGGTGGCAGTGCGCTGCTCGGTGCAGTTAGGATGGCTCTGATCTCTCTGCTTCTTCCCTTGCTCTCCCTCCTTCCCGGGACCGGAGGAACCAACCGGCATGCCGTACACTGGAACAGCTCCAACTACCAGTGAGCCCGGGGGCGCTTTGCATGGGGGGAGGGGGTGTATGCAGGTTGGTGCACAGAGGGTGAGTGTAGGTGGAATAGGGGTGCAGGGCAAGAGGGTGTATGTTGTTGGGTGCACAGACAAGATTGTGGAGTAGGGGTGCATGTAGTGGGGTGCAAAGACAGGAGGTTGCATGGAGTAGGGGGTGCTAAGGCAGTAGGGTACATGGAGTGGGGTTGCTAACTTAGGAGGGTACATGGTATTGGGGTGCTCATGTAGCATGGTTTATGGCGTAGGGACGCTCCTGCAGAAGGTTCATGTTGTGGGAATGCTCAGGCCAGAGGGTGCAGGGACGGTGTATGGATTGGGGGTGTATGGATTGGGGTGCTCAGGCAGCAGGGTATGGGAAATGGGGGTGTTGATGAAGGAGGCTTCATCTAGTGGGGGTATAGAGCAGGAAGGTGCACACTGTTGGGGTGCTCACATGGGGGGGTGTATGGATTAGGGGGTTGCTAATGTAGTAGGGTAAATGGAGTGGGGGTGCTCATATAGAAGGGTGCATGGAGTGGGGGTGCATCTCAGAAACGGGTTGCATTTAGGAAGTGCATTATAAGAAGTGTAAATGTTTAAAATGCATGTAATAATGGCACAAAACCTGGAGGGAACTGTACTGAGTGACTGTGTCAGGATCTGTTGTGGGGGAGGGGTGCACTATTAGTGGGGTGCACACACTACAAGGGTTCCAACGCTTCAATGGCCCCTAAGTGGGGGGTGTACAGAAAAAAGGCCCCCTCTTTACTGTAACCCCCCCACTAAGTGGCGATTGAAGCTATGGAACCTTTGTAGTGTGGTGACAATGGTGTAAGGAGGGTACTC